TTCCGGTTGAATAGAATGCCGTCAGGTCGCCGGCGATGGCAAATCATCTATGAAAAGCCATGTGAAAATGATTCGGAATGTTCATGGAAACCTTAGTTCAGGGTTTGTACTACTCATACTACAAGACAATAATCAATGCTCCATCGTTCTACAGTGGTCTACAACAAATAACCAATGACAATGTGACGGAATACGGTCACACCATCAACACGTTGAACGATTCAATCTCTACCCAGAGGTAAGCTATGGTCATGCTGATAGGGCGGCGATGATAAATTGACCTTTGCATGGGAACTGAACAAAACAGATTTCGCCCGTTTCTTCGCTGTTATTGTTGTTGTTGTTGTTGCTGCTGTTGTTATGCGAAAACAGTTTGTGTCGCTGTTGCCTGTCATTTATCCTTCTTGTTTTCTGGAGAATAAGTCACACTCATACCATTTCCATTTTAAATTGGACACATTCTATGCCTAAAGGGACACTGCAAACCAAAACGCACGTTTTTAAATACACCGAAACAGACTCTTTCCAAACGAGATGGGGTGCAACAGACCACGTCGTGGAAACAGGGCACGCCATTGCGTTGTGATCATTTCCTGAAAAATACGACCCCCCCCCCTAATTCCATCTTCAAGTACGACCCCCTCCCCATGTTACCTCTTCCCTAGATTTTTCCAACCTCCTACCACTTTGTCTATTTTTTCCCAAAAAATTTCTGGTTTTTTTACAAAATTTTGCTGTCGAGCGGGGGGGGGGGGTCGCAGTACCTACGTACGTCCCAAGCACGTCCAGCACTCTGGCGCTGGTGTAGCATACTGACAATACGTACGAGGAAGGGGCGATGATAGGAGCTACCATCACCGCCCACAAGGACACCATGAATTTATAAATGGGAAAGGACTTACGACTGACGATGAATAAACAGAGGAAAGTACATTCCAGACTTTCTCTATCTGATCAGAGCATTTTCTCTCTCTTGTTTTTTTCTCTTCTTTTTTTTTTTCTTTGCTAAACTCGGAAGCCTAATCTAGCAACGCCTTCCCGCCTTCCAACACCAGCCATCCGGGTGGAAAAGCCCCGAATCGCCATGGTTGACCAGAGGTTGATGCCAGATACTGGCCCAATGGCTCCTATTTTCCTGATTACCCTTTCGGAAACATTAGTACAAACATACCCAACAGGTCTTTCAAGCAAACTGTAGGTTTCATGCCTCGGAGGGCTGGATTAATTCGGTGTCTGTCGGGGCGGGTGTACCGGTTACGAAATGGATCAGAAACCGAGGATTTTTTCGAGAAAGCAGGCTAGGAAGAAAATTATAGCTTTGCCTTGGAAAGACAGAAATCTGAGCTTCCGGCACAATTCTTTTTTTACGAAAGGCCGTGTATGAAGCTTGCCATGGACGTCCAAAGCGTAGCGACTCGCGGTTCGCAAAAATGATCACAGACGGATCACAACGATGATCACAACGGGGAAAATCTCTGGAATCGGAACGTTTTTGAAATCGCTCAATTCAGGTGACAAGAGCCAACCTAGCTCTACTCACTCCCACTTACCCCTCTCCGATAGCTTCACTTTCAACGAAGTTATGGGTGTTCAAATGAGGGGTACTTTTCACGTGTTTGGCTTGAATGCCCTCCAGCGTAACAATAGCGCGCACCAATGAGCTTGTAGAGCGCGACGCTGACGGAACACCAAGATTCAAAAGTAATCCATAGTTCCGGTTCTCAGCTGGCCTGGTGAGTTTTTTTTTCTTATCCATTTCATTGCGAATTAATTTGATTGCTTATTTTTGTTGAGTCTTTGATTTGTGTTTTGTTGAGTTTTTTTTGATTTTTGTGAGGAAATTGCTCAGGATTCAATTTCTCCGGTTTCATAGGTAGCTTTTGCAATGGATTCTTTTCTGATTTTGCGGATTAGTGGATTGGATTTATCTGGATCAGTATGAGGAGTTGTGGCGAAGGAATATTTGTAGTCTAGTTTATTTTATTGTCATCTAAATCGTCCTGTGTTGAGCTTTTCTTCACTTGTCGGTGTATTCACCCCTCTCATCATTCAACAAGTCCATGCGTTTTATCGACCCCCCCCCCTTCATCGCCGCAAATACGACCCCCCCCCTCGTGATGATCACAAAGATGGCGTGCTCTGCGGGGAATCCCAGCGAAGTGGGATTCCGATTTGAACTGAGAAATTTTTCTTGATGATTGATTCGTTTCAAGGACCACTAGCGTTGGAATTTCGTCGTTTTGGTTATTAATGGAGGAGGGGGGGACGTATATGCCTTTGAGAGAAATTAGGGGCGTTGGGAATGAATTTTCCGCTGTTTGACTTTTAGCGGTTTTTCCCGTCACATGCCCTCGCTGCCCTCCCTTCCCCGCCCCCTGCTCGGTCACAACGAAATATTCGAAAAAAAGTAGGAAGCTCAAAGGAAACTCCGGGCGACACAAGTCGGTTAGAAATTGCCGCGAAAATCTTGGAAAAGATGCCAGTTAGGGTGGAGGCGTCGCATCGAGGTGGGAACAAGAGGCGGTATTTTCCTAGAATTGCCCAGCGACAGGACATGCTGTTTCCGAATTGAATCGGATACACTCTTATAGCTGGTAGAATAGACCACGTTGGGTACTGCTGCAAGCTCAGCCCCAGTATCCGCTCTCCTTCCAGCACGGTCATGGTTTCCAACTTTCATTGATAAATTCTTACTTCTATGAGTTGCACTCTTGTTATCTTGCGCACAGACACTCACAGAAAGGGACTGAAAAAACGAAAAAAAAACTCTGAAACTCTCATAGAAGTTATTGGAAATATCGAATTTCATACCTTTCCTTCAAGTCTCTTTTCTAATCCAATCTTTGCACAGTGAATAACCTTACATTGCGCATTTGCGCAGTGACACAACGGCCTCTCCCGTTTTAGCACGCTCAAAAAAATAAGGCAATGTTCCTCTCGGGTGGGGAGGTCGGCCTGCTAATTGAACCCTATCCTGCGATTGAACATTTTAAAGTTAGGAGGGTTCCTGTGAAGTCGGGTGGAGCTTCTTGTGGGGGAGCCACTTGTTGCAGCCATAGGAGGCGAAACTTTTGGCGAAGAGGATTGAAAAAGAAAAGACCTATAACCAGTAGACTGGCAATTCATTCAATATGCTTATCCTACAGTCGCGAATTTTTCCGCTCATATTATTTGAGGGATATTCCCACAACGAATAATTCGATTTACCCAGCAATGAAGGCGAACGTGTCATAATGGAGCAGTAATCATTTAGTCGAATTCCCAGGCGGTCACGGTATTTTATCATAAAACTGCTGATAACGACTGATGGAACTTTCGAGGACCTACTGCACATTATTTGCCGCGTAAAGGGACATTGAAACTATAATGGATAAAGAAAAGTCCTTCCCTTATGCTTTGTGGATCGGCATGCATTCTACTTCCATTCAGAATCGTAGTGGCTTATTGAATGCGATGTGGCCTATACAATGACTTGCGGGGGCCAGCCGATGTACAAGTCAGTGTTCTTATCCTCCCGATTTCTGGTATAAATTTACAGTCCCCGGGAGGTAGTGGCTTTCCGATCTCTTGAGCGGGAGTCTACCCGGCATTCAAGCCCGGGACCGCGCGAGTGGTAAGAGCGCCACTTGTCACTACACCATCGTATTCACCTGGTAACATAGCATAAACACTTTTTAGATATCGGTGAAATCTTAGAACTGTTACGTACGTACACATGAAACAATTCAGAATATTTTAATTTTAGTACTGTCTGACGACTAGAGTAACATAGCAACATTGTTTACTGTCTGACGACTAGGTAACATAGAACCCGATCTATTAGAAGAGGGTCCTGAACTTCCGGGGTGGCAGTCAAAGTACTATTGGTGCAAGATAGAATCAAGATCGTTCCAATAGAATTACCATGTTCGAAATTAATCGCTCAGCCCTGAGCTACTTGGCTTCTTCATGCTCAGTACAAAATCCTTATCTATAAAGTGCACTAGTTTTGCGGCAAGTCCAGTTCAAGAATGGGGTTCATCAGGCCGAAAGCCATTATTAAGAATGGCTTGTCACGTTGTAAAGGTTCATATGGGGATCAGAAAAGTGTAGTTCATTTTCACTGCCCGCTCCTGAGGGTGCCAAAAGGGAGCGAAAAGAAGTTCTCAGAGCTCGTTCTGTTTTTCGGGCAAAAGATGAGGCGATTCTGAATATGTTTTTGTTCAGGCAAAATTCCGGCTTACATGAACATAAAAAAATAAAAATTACAGAAAAGCAAAGCTTAGTCGTTTAGGGGATTTGAACTATCAGCCAATTGTTTACCCTTTCTTTTGGCTTTGCAAAAGTGTAGCGATCTACACGTTCGAGGGTTCCGTGTGAGCATGCAACAGACCAGTTTGAAAATTGGCTTTGCGACCTCAAATACCTCCTTTGTAAATACCACTTCCCGAGCGTACTCGCACCAAAAGATTATTCGAAACTATCGATAGAAACAAATTCTAGTTTGATTTCAGGTGATACTCTCGTTCGCCTACAGGCAATTCAAGCGAATAACGAGTTCCTACTGAAACTGGAAAAGACGCAATGCTGAGCGTTCAATAGACGCTGACTAGAGCCCCGTCGAGAGTTTGTGAGGTTACGGCTAAAAATCTTCAATTTTTCTTAGTAATATCGTAGTTTTGTGCACCAGCACTTTCAATGCAATAGAGTCGTATACTAATAAATAAAATAAAAATACGCTTTTGAAGGTATCGGTAACTCTCACTACTTCTACATCGATCTTGTATTTGCTCTTGCCGGTACTACGGCCGGATGGTTGTTCATTCTGGGCACTCTTGTCAGGTTGAAGCTTAATTAATCCTCTTGCTACACCTTGCCTTCTGGTGTGAATTCTTACAGTTATTACCTTCAGTGATACGATACTGGAGGTTGCTGCGGGTGTTGGCATTCCTTTCAATCACGGAGCCACCAGAGACAATTGACCGCCCCCACTTTCGCTGAATCTTGCATTTCCCAATGATTATTCGCCCAATAACAGCGTCACATACATATTGAAGTGAGTTCTTTGAGAATCAGGTGGCTCCACCTCCTGGAAAAGCCCAGTCTTTTTTCCTTCAATTCGCGGAATCTCACTTATATAAGCCTCTGCCCCTCAACCACGGTGAAATAATAGACATAATTCCCCATCTCTACATGGTTAACGACTTTTCATCACTGGATGTAGCTGTGCTGCTGCTACTGTTGGCTGGTGCGGATGCTGCGCACGTAAATCCGCCTACCAGGCCTCTTTCGTAGCCCTCGCCGCTACATGGCATTAACCGTTTACATTTTACCCTTATTCACTGTGGTAATTTCTACCATTTTTGTGTTTTCTTTCACCGCTGCTTTACATTGAATCATGCATATTTTTTGACGTACAACCAGAATAACGTACGTACTGTTTTAAAGGCACGGTCCGCGTTCACCTATAACTATCTGAGCTCGTTAATGGGGAAGTTAGCGGAAACTGCAACGAACAACGCTGTACAAGTTTCGCGTCAGAAAATTGTAGGGTAGCGGCGTACCTTCTGAGCTGTATAAGTGTGTCCGCCCACGTTGAAAGATAACCTGTCGGTCGTCTTACTCGTTCTCATGCTTTCTCGCCGCTCTTATCTGGCCTCTCACCCGAGAACCACATCGACTTTTCTGTCTCTCGCCTCGTAAGCCCAGGGAAAACCTGATTCTGACCGTTTTCGACTCTTACCGTTGGTTTTTTTATTCACGAACGAGTCACCTCGCACGTGCACTTCTGTTCTCGCTGGCTCATCACGAATCGTGCCTAAATGATCCAGTGCTTCCAGGAACCATCGTTCTGGGCTTCTGTGCGGTTTGGCGATGGCAGTTTTCGGCTGTTTATCGATGCTTTTCTGGCAGTTTTCTCAGTTTGCTTTTTTCACTCAAGTCGGATCTCTGTTCGTCGTCTACACTTTTGACTTTATTCCACGAAGAACTATGGAAACGCTTCTCAAAGGGCATCTGGTTAGTAACCTCTTTTTACAGTTGCCCATTTCGAGAATCTAATTGACACCTCTAATTGGGCTTTACAGCCCCTTTTCTTTCATCATCAGCAAACGAAAGATACATCTGTGCATACTAATGATAAATGATGAAATGGCAACGAGTGCGCGTAGATGGGCTTCTTTTGCATCTGTATGATTTCGCCCATCTGTTCAAAACTACCTAAGTTTGAACTCAGTGTTCCTGCTTGTAGACTGCATATTATCTCTCTGATGTAATTCCTCTAAAGGGGCCTCCCGCGCTCATTATATGGGCGGAGCTGTGCCTGTCGACATGTCTCCCTCGTCGTTGGGGCTCACCTGATGGGACGGTGAAGGAGAGAACTTGTCCAATAACGAGAACGGCAGGCTGGCTACGCCCATGCAACAAGCGTGAATATCCTTTCACCCGATCACAAAAGCGCGAGGGCTTTTGGCGCTATGTGTCCTGCACCGTGAGCAGCGGTAGGATACTCACGTGGTGCTTCTTCCTATTCCAAATAGGTTACCTGTAGTCTTATCTTTCTTGAGTATGTAGGAAATATTTCAGGTCACTTTCACTGTGGCGTTTGTGATGCTGTTCGGTAATGAAATGCTGCTCACTTCTCTTTACATTGCCAGTATCCTAGCAGCCTTGGTGAGCTCTGTAGTAACCCTTTGACTTACAAATGACAGTTTGCTTTTTTTGCAGATATTGGTGAACTGTGAACAGGTTCTGGGCAAAATCACGTTACGACCCCTCTATGTGGCACTGACGTCTTTATGTTTTGTTGGTGGTACCCTTGGAATCAAGCTCGGTGTTTCAACGCTGCTCAATGTGGAAGATGATGTAAGTCTGACATTCACTAACTTCTTGTGTAGGACGTTTACGCTGTGTCGCACGTACCGTCGTGACGCAACCGCATGTGGCTGCTCATGCTCCGTTTCTCTCCCTATCCACTTCAATGCTAAAAGGTCGCTCATCGCTACTGACTGGTAGTAACAATCGGGCCACACTTCGGGGGTTATTCAGTTGTAATGTAGTGGGGGTAACTCAGCCATAGGTGACCCCTGCGCGTCCTCACGAAATTCTTAATCCCTCTCTCTGTTCCTCTCATTTTTTTTGCTTAATAAAAACAGTCCAATAGTTGCACAACGTGACCCATGAAGACAAGCCCTGCGATTGCTATTCGTTGATAAAGTAGTTCATACAGGCATGACCGCTAACATACACTCTAGTTTGCTGCGGACGGTTGGGCGTGTCAGGCAGTATGAGTGTGTCACCCGTCAAAGCCGTTCTCTGCCTTCTTGTTGAAGCGCGCATGCGACAAAAGTGGTAGAAAACGAGTAATACGAACGATATGATACAGTCATATCATTTGCTCGCTTTAACAACTGGTGGAGAACGGGTTTGGCACCGCGCCAAACTCATGCCTGACACGCCCAACCGTCCGCAGCGAACTACACTATATCTCCTCCATGGGCGAGACAACTCGGACGTACCGTAGATACCTTCAACTTGTCAAGGCTGCAGCGCCCTCGTTTTTGGAGCCGCAGATGAAAACTTCCGAGATTGCGAACTGGACCACATGAGCAGTTGAGAACTGTTACGTACGTGTCTTGAATGATTGCCAACGAATTCGTAGGGCTTCACTGAACCATTTCTAAAGCGAGTAGCTTTAGTTTGAGCTACAACAGCATATGTGGTCGCGACGCGACTCTGCGCGGCTGCCCATGAAGCTCTCTTACTCTCACGATTCACAGAATTGAAATGGATGTGCCCACTTCAGGCGCATATTTTCGACATACTGCGATCAAAATTCACTAACTACTCGACATTTCACACACGTCTTTACACATGCTCAAAGGAATTCGACTTCATATCGTTTGAGGTAAAGGCATTACAAGTGAGAAAGAAGTTCTTATTGAAATGGAT